AGGTACTAGGAAAATCAATAAGGTAAAAATCTTCATCCTACTATTTGGAATGACTCCCACATAAGAATTAATTAACACAATACTTCTAGAACATGAAAAGGATGTTAAAATGTTATCTCTACCCATAGAAAACAAAGATACATAAACCGACCCAACTTCTAGAGAGAAGGTTGAAGAGAAAAGACTGGAAAGATTAAAGGTGTGTGTAAGAGGTCATCTCTGCCCTGTTGTCATACCATTTACCCTCTTCAGATAGAAGGATAAGTGTTGAACTTCAGTTTGTCTGAGTTCCTCAGCTCTGTCATCAATGCTGTGACACATTCTAATTTTCTGATTCATTTGTGATGAATAAGCTCTCTCTTTTCTATTCACAGCACTAAAAGTAACCAATTTTTATGAGTGAGTTATGATTACTTATTTTCCATTTTTGTATTGCACTATTATTTTCCCTTTGCAAAGTTTCTCTCACGCTTTCTCAGCCGGTGTGAATCCCATGTACAAAAAAGCCCTCGGACAGGACCGCTGCCTAGGCTTCAGTCAGTCAAGAGGAATGAAAGACTGACAGCCCGATTCCGTTTTTAACCCAGCCAGATACCTCAGCTGGCAAGTGGCTCAGCTTCCGCACCATAAAATGGGTATAATAATAGCTTTCCCTTACCACTGTGAAATATTTAGAATACAAATCAAGCCAAACCTGTCTCCTTCCAAAGGAGAAGCTTAAACTAGCCTACAAAATCCTGAATGAGCCCAGATTTCAAGGGGAAACATAAAATGGGAAATACCTACATGTAGTGTAATTTAGTGGTTAAAAATATGTAGACTTTGGAATGGGGCAGACTTATTCAGATCCCAGCAGCTGTGGGATTTGGGGTAAGTTTCCTAATTTCTCAAATCTCCCTTTTTCTATAGTAAATTGGGAGTTAATGGTATTTCCTCTTCTAGTCAGGATTAAATGATACACTGCTAATGCTGCTTTTCAAACTCTTCCACAGAGGTGATCCTCCCTTTCAAGTGAGTGATCCAGTACTCAGGGTGCTGGGCCATTGCCTGAAGCAATCTGCCACAAATGAGACTTTTCAGTGATGGCTCAGGGTGCATCCTACAAATACATACAAATTTAGCATTCTACTCATTATGTTCTTGTTTGTTTCACTAAACTAGAAGTTCCATGAGGACCAAAACAGTATCTGTTTTATTCCTCCTATAACATCCAAGAAAATGAATATGTGTACAAATAAGGGTTTAAATGGCTTAGCCACAAGGACAACTGACCCTCCCAAAAGACGGTTATGTCTTTATTACTTATTCTGTGGCTTGGTGCGCTCCCGTTACGCTGCTCCACGTCCCTGGATATGCCCACATTCAAATCTGAGAAGCATTTACTTAGCAGGATGCCTGAAACCACAGAAGGTGCTGAGTAAATAGTAACCCTTATGTCTCTGCTCACTACTCCTCTATCTCACTGTTCCTAAGCCTCTATGGAAATCATAAAGAACTAGGGAAGTCAGAGTCTGGGAGGCCTTTAGAGGAGTCTGTGTGTCTCTAGCCACACATACCCGTGAAGAGCTCTATTTTCTATACATTTTGTTTGCTTCTTTCTGGCTTCAGCTTGGAGCGACTTGTCAAGCTTCCTAGAGGTGATAAGCAGTGGGATTGCATGAGCATTTTCTCCCCTCTCCCCCTAAGCCAAGGGTGACGAACCTGGAATTCATGAGCAACCTTCATGGGGTCTGGAAGATTTTTGAAACTTGGTGTTTCTAAAGAGTTTCTTTGGGAGGGGATTCTCATTGGGATCCATATCACCTGGAAATATCGGAAACCATTGCCCTTGAATGTTACATAATGTAAGCTGAAATCAGAATTGATTAATCTTTATTAACAATCCATTTAATTAATAGTACATTTAGTTCCTTGGAGATTGACACTATACAATAATTTCTACTAGAATATCACAAAACACGATCAGAGTTCACCACAAACCACCCCTTTTCCACCTGTCTACTCTTGCCCCCCCCCCCACCAGGTATTAAGGTCCTGATTCATTTGGGCTTTACAGTTATATATTCTTTGCTAGATAGTTATGCTTTGAGCCTAGCATGCGTAACGCAAATATTTTTCATCATATGTGAAACTATTATAGATAATTCTTTACATTTCAGATGAAAACAACTTACAGACGTATAAGGTAAATATCACTTAGGCAGAAAGGGCACATTATCAATAAAATAACAATTTGAACTGAACAGAAATAAACCTATGTAGATTAATACATATTCTCAAAATTGCAGATTGTAATTCAATCAAGAAGTAGGGGCCTTTTGACGTTTATGAACATTTATAAATTATATAAGAGCTCTGAGATTAAATTTTTTGCCTTAATATTAAATTTTGGATAGGTATTATTGTTTTTCATTAATATATAAAGACAACAATTATATCCAATAAAATCTCCAATTTAACTTGGCTTTAATTTGTCTTAGACTGTGACATACACACTGTGATTTTTCTTTCCATCTTGGATTCCTGTCATTGACAGCCTGTGTGTCACTTAACATCCAGGAAAGATATTTCTTCTTCATTCCAGACCTTGGATGTATTAGTCAATCTGGGTACAATTTATATTGATCTCTTTTGATCACATCAAAAATTTAATTTTGACTGATTAACTTTATGAATAAATGCTCCTTGGAATTTGAAAAGGAAACCTATGTGCTTAGATATAAGAACATAAATGCTAAGTATAGTTTTTAAAAAGCACAATGTATTATTGAGAGTTATTGGGTTTAAATGTGCAACAGAGAAATGATAAGTGAGTATATTTCATAGATAACCACTAATCATCTTTCTCCTTTTTCTCAAAGGCTGAGGAAAAAAACAAGCTCAAAAAAGTTGGGAGGGAAGCATGAAAGGAAGGAAGGGGGGAAGGAGGAAGGAAAGAAGGAAGGATGGGAGGAAGGGAAGAAGGGGGGGAGGGAGGAAGGAAAGAAGAGGGGAAGGAAGGAAGGAAGGAAGGAAGGAAGGAAGGAAGGAAGGAAGATTTAAAAAATAGACTAGTGCTGGGGCGCCTGGGTGGCGCAGTTGGTTAAGCGTCCAACTTCAGCCAGGTCACGATCTCGCGGTCCGTGAGTTCGAGCCCCGCGTCAGGCTCTGGGCTGATGGCTCGGAGCCTGGAGCCTGTTTCCGATTCTGTGTCTCCCTCTCTCTCTGCCCCTCCCCAGTTCATGCTCTATCTCTCTCTGTCCCAAAAATAAATAAATGTTGAAAAAAAAAATTAAAAAAAAAAATAGACTAGTGCTATGGTCTAGGATTTGGGCTTATAGAAGGGACTAGAACTTAGCAAAACTTAGAACTTTAAAGTCTTTGAAGACTAGTCAATCTTTATATATATTTCAAGTTTGTATGTACTTCCAATGAATCATACATAATCTAATTGTCTTGCTTAAAGTTTTCACTAAACTCATCAATTTTGTGAAATAATTTGAAAGCAATGGAGACTCCCAGCCTCTCTCATGTTAGCATACATTATGATCTAGGCTGCAGATTTTCATCTTAACTCTTCTTATTCAAGAAGGCGAACACCATCCTTCACACTTACATGTGCATGTACAGGGTTTCACCTCAGCCATAAAGAGGAAACTTTTTCTTTCGAGGAATCTCTATGATAGTGCACCTGTCTAGAAAACTTGTTGAGAAGTGAAATCTCTTTAATTGACAGGGGTGTTTGTTGTTGTTGTTGTTGTTCTGTTTTGGGTTTGGTTTTTTTTTTTTGTTTTTTGTTTTTTTGTTTTTGCTTTTAGCCTTATTCTACGCCAAACTATATAATCATATCTCTGTACTTGATCTCTTTTAGTACAATTTGTTTTGCATATTTTTAGAGGCCTTATATATAAGTGGTTAAAATCATGGTGTCAGAGAGGAAAGAGTTAAATCAGCATATATTAAATCCTTGATATATTTGAGTGGGGTGTGGGTGGGGAGACCTGCTTTGTTTTTTCAGTATCCCTGTTTGGTTTATTAATTTCTCATGGATCTTCTGTTACTTCAGTTTTATTTTTCCATAAGAGAAGCTGTCAAAACAGTAGTGTGAGCAGGCCAGTCCCATCATAGCTCATTTGGCTTGTGAGTTGAAGATGACAAAGGAGAATTATCTGATTTGAAATACAGATGGAGGAACTGTTAAGATCAACTCCCTGCAAACCTGAGGTTTTCATCCTTAGAGATGTGTTTTGGGAGACAGATGCTTTCATTTAAAATCATTTTGTCAGCGGGGACATTCCTAGGCTGGAGAGAAGGGGCAGATGAGGCAGTATATGGTCCTCAGTGGGCACCAAGCCGACAAGAGGCAACATTACACCAAGTCCTCAGTTGAGGGCCAATGATACACGTACATGTTGAATTTGTCCAGAGGGTCTTCTGCGCATTAAACATACTGTATTTACCCTTAAAAGAGCCAACATTAATCAGTTTCATTCATCTTTGTCAAAATTATCTAAGATTTGCCCTGTGCTATGTGGGATGGCCGTTACCTATTCTCATCAGTGCTGCCCAATAGATATTTATGGAGTGATAGAAATGTTCTCCCTAGAAGGCAGCCACCAGCCACAGGTGGCTATTGAGCACTTGAAATGTGGCTAGTGTGACCAGGAATTAACCATTTAGTTTTTTACTAAATTTTAACTAATTCAAATAGATAAGTATAGTTAGTGGCTACTGTTCTGAGGAGCACAGCTCTAGAAAGTACTCACACCATTCAGATCAGAATGAAGTTAGCAAAGAAGGAGGTTGGCATGCCATGTGCTGGAGTGCTGTGTTGGTCATATAGCAGGAGGTCATGGCCTTTGGAAAATTGTATGGGGCTGGATCTCTTTTTCCTTGGGCTCCAGGTAATAAAACAGGTTCCTACTGTTAACCCTTGGGAGCAACCAGTTCTGTCTACAACTTAGATTCGTTCTCCTTCCCCTCACTGGGTTTATTTTTAATTCCTTGTTTTTGTTTTTCAGTTCCTTGACCATCAGTCTGTGGACTGCCCCTTCTCTTTCTGTAAGTAAAAGTGGTTTCTTTACTTTTCCATAAAGTGTCATATTTGGGAAATTCAGATCTTTATTGGCATGGTTTCTGCTTGACTTTGTTGTGGTTTCCAGCACTTCTTCACTATATATTAGCTTACTTTGGGTTTGGAATTGATGCTGTTGGTGCTGGTCGTAGTTGCCATCCATGAGTGAGCTGGAAAGCCCAGGGCCCGGGCGTTGGACTACATAAAGACTGCATTTTTCTCAGCAGCAGCTGCTGTTTGCAGAAGTCACTGCTCCTCTAAACCATAGCCTGCATTCTTCAGTCAGATATCAGCAATAGTTGGGCTTTTGCTCCACTGTCAATCAATGGGCAATTATTTATTCATCAGCTATATACCCATGTCTACATCCCGTAGTTTTTAATTTCAACTTCTACATCACATCTTTCATTTATGGACAAAATTTCCATACCCTTTTACTAAGAAGTGCAAGAGTGAACTATAAGGCTTGACCCATTTAGGCTAAAGTTGTGTGTGTAATCACATGTCCAGGGGGGAAAAAAAGAAAAAGAAAGCCAGGATTACATCTGCCGAGAGGTTTATAGAAGGTACCATCCTTTTTCAAAAAAGATGGTGAGTCATTTGAAAAAGGAGAAAAAACGAGAGAGAAAACTTGATTTCAGATGAAAAGAGAGAACATTTATTATTTAAAGCCCAAATCAGGCTGCATCGAATGTGTTGGATAAGTTTTTACCTTGGGCTGCTTGAAAGAGATTCTGTGGCAGTGAACCCAAATAATCATAGTCACTCACTGCATGAGACACTGCCCAAGACATGCTACAGGTGGTGGCAGTCACCTTCTATGATAAATAAGCATCAGATCTTCCCAGCTGCTTCTCCCTCTCTGGTGAACACTGTCCCTGATTCACAACATTCTGTCCTGCTTCACTGACTTCTCCGAGGTGTTTCTTGTGTGGTCCTCATTTGCACAGAAAAGGGGTCCCATGGCTCTCTTGCACGTGTGTGGCTTCCACTAACATTCCTAGAGGCATGTTGCAGATACACTTAAGGGAGCAGAATCCCCCCCCAAGGACAGACACTAAGACTGAAGTCCAAAGTGACAGCCGTTTGACAGAGAAAGGAGATTGGTGAAACTCCCCAAGGACGACGGGTGCTGTGTGTAATGCATTTATACAGCAGGGCCGGATCCTCCCTGTCCCTGGCAGGTCTTGTTATTCTTTATTCTCCATGTTGATAGAGCGGGTCTGTCAATGCTTTGGAGGGTGTGAATGTACATGCTTCTGGTTACCACTTTGTGTTTCCGTGTCCCTCCTTCAGTTACCTAGCACTGCATATTTCTAGTCCTCTGACTGGCAAATCATTTTTGTTACAGTTCTTTTGTGTAAAAACAGTTCACAGAATAGCTCCGTGTTAGACAAGGCATTAATCCTCACATCACTGGGGATGAGTCAGCACAGTGCACTCCTGCCCGCACGGCTCAGCTATTATGACGTCAGCACCGTAGGGCAAGCCTCAGACACAAGCAGTACAGGGGACTGGAGACCTGTGTCACAGATTAGAAATCGAGGGGGAGACCTTTGAGATAAAAACGTAATTGAAAGGCTGTTTCTGGCTCATAGGAAAATGTGAAACTGATTCTATGATACCTCCACCATTAATCAGGCAGCTTCTAGAGAGATCCTAATTTTTAACCAGAGATAAAGCTGGGAGAATGACCTGTAATGGGGCTGATAGCCCACTCCTGTACCCCCTAACCTTGTCCCACCCCTGGGCCAGGCTTCATGCCTGCTTGGGTTGTTCCAGATCCCAAGGCTGCTTTTCTTTCAAGGGTGACAGGGCCTGTGATAGCCCTGCTGTCCTCAAGTGCCCCACAGACACAGCTGATGGCTCCAGGGGTGGTGCCCCAGATACCTATCAAAGGGAAAAGAAAAGTTCCTGGGAACAGATCAGAACATTATCTCCCCAGCGCTTCTAGCTCCTAGTGCCTCTTCAATGGCCTTCTCCAGACAGGTGCAGAATGCTGCCTTCTCTCCTGGCACTGCATTTAGTCCAAAGTCCCAATCCGGATTTGACACAGATTTCAATGGGAACTGAACAGCTTCCAGATGTTCCCCCCAAGAGTTTTCTATTCCGTTACTCTTTAGCAGAAACAAAGAGGAGCCTGCCGTAACCTGCCACGCTGCCTGCAAGCAGGTAGCATAGACCGAGCCTATTTGAGAAACCAGGTTATTATAAATTAGACCTCTCCACGATTCAGACTCAGATTCATTCTCAGAACAAAACCTTCCGGTATTGAAAACTCCGTGTTGAAAAGGCTGCAAATTCACTGCCTCAGTGGCATTCTCTGCTAACAAGACATTCCTCCATCACACTCTCTATCCCTCATTCTTCCTTTCACCCTGTGAGAACCGCCAGAAAGTGCCTTACTGCTGCGATCTTCTGCCTTCCTTAGATTGCTAATAGGCTCCATGCTTAGCTTATAGAGGCTAACGCTACTGCGTGGCTTCATTTTGATTAATTATCATGCACAGCTTTTTATTCAGTTTTCAGTCAACAAACATTTATGGAAAGCTAGTTATTGTGCGTCATTCCTGGAACTCCAAGATAAATAAGAAATGCTCCCTATTGCTAAGAATCTCACGGTCTGGTAGGGGTGATAAATAGTAAATAAAGGCTATAGCATGTGATGGACACTGGAATGGAGGCATAAACAAGATGTAACAAGAGGAGGAAGGAGATGTTACAAAGGTGTAATAACGAGCAAAGAGAAAGGAGTGCCCACTTGCAAGCTGGATCTAAAAGTCTACAGAATGAATTGCAGTTTGCCAAGTCAGTGTAGGGGAAGAAAAAGAAAAGGGCATCATAATCACAAAAAAAGCAAGAGCATTTACAAAGTCAAGAGTGTCGAGCAGCAGCCTGCTCCAGAGGACAGTAGCTTAGTATGACCGGAACATGGTGGTTGAAAGGGGAGCCTGGGAGATGAGGCTGGAAAGTGGATAGGAGGCAGATTGCGGAGGGTCTTGTCAGCCATGCAGGGGAGTTTAGATGTGATGCTGCAGGCTTGAGGAGGCTTTGAAGAATTTTAACCAAAGAGTGCTCTGGCTATGTACAGATGGCTGATTGGGAAAAGGGAGACCGGGTCACAAGTGAAAACAAAGGGCCCGGACTGTACAGTGGGGGTGGGAGCGAAGAAGAGACGCTATCTGGTAGTGTTGACATAGACACTGACATCTGCATGATGCCAGCATATCTTGGCCCAGTGCACAGTCCCTGCCTTCTAGGAGAAAGGTTGATGTGTTATGTGGGGCCAAATTTCAGGCCAAAACACTCTTCACAGGAGCTCCAAAAGAGACCTGAATTTGAATCTGACCTCACTCTGAGATGCTGCCTGCTGGTCTCCAGAGATGTGTGACTCCTTTTCCATAGTAAATTTGGAGGAGTGCCAGGCAGATAAGGAAGAAGCCATTTCCAGTGTCCCGCTTTTCCCTTCTTTCACCTGAAAATGAAACAACTTCTCAGTAATGTCCCCCTACAGCCAAGCAATACCCAACTTCCTATCATTTGTCTATACTGTCCTTTTCTAAGAAGTTCCAAGCCATTGAACTGAATGGCAACGTATATACTGCTGGTGTTGAAACAGTTCAGTACGTCTCTTCCTTCTTTCTGAATTAGAGTTCACCATAAATGTGCTTTTCTCTTGTTCACTTTGGGCTGCCAGGACAATTTAAAGGAAATTTTCAACAGCTTATGTTTCATGGACCATGTTCTCTTTGCAAATGGGAGGGTATGTGTGGGTGTGTTTAAGTCTTCTCTATATTGCTTTCTGGAGAAAGGTTTGAGAAGATGAGCAAGATGAGGAGTAGGGACCTATTGAAAGCCCAGGTCCCCCCAGTGACCTGAGTGTAGACTGTAGGCTGGTGATCAGATGGTCAATTATGTGTTTGTCAAAACATAGTGGGCTGCATTCCAGACTGCCAGCTTTGGAAGCCCAGCTTCTGCCAACCAAATGTCATCTGGGAACATGCAACACTGGGCACTGTGAAGGAGTTTGAAATAGACCATGCCACAGCCAACCTACTGCCAGTCTTATAGCACCAATATGGCATGCACAGCCGGGCCCCATGTTTCAGAGCTCAGGAATTCACTGTACTAAATTCAAGAGGTCAGATGGGTTCATGTTTTCAAAGGCCCTGTTCTCTGCTTTGAACATTGTGACTTGCTCCTCAGTGACTTCCAAGTGATTTTTCCAGTCATATCTCTGTGGAAACCACCCTTTTTGTGATGGTTATGAGAGCCTTGTAGAAGTCCCAGAGGAAAGAAAAATATACATACTCACTCTGACAATGACTGTGATTCCGACAGAGGGATTCCAACTCTTAGGAAATTACATTAAAGGTGCATAGCTTTTAAAATATCAGGAACCACCTTGGCAACTTATAAAAAGCAGAAGGGCTTTGCCTATTTTATAAAGTGATTTGCATATACCTGCATAAATAATGTTCCCACCTGTACTTTTATGCATTTAGGTTGAATAAATTAAATTCAGTGATCTTTAAAATATTCACTGTCTTTCATTGCTCAGATACCATTTTCAGGACCCTTCCTTCTAATTTTTTTTTTCCTGAGGTAGTAGTGGCGTTTTTTTTTTTTTTTTCAATCTTTTAACTAATTCAGAGAATCAAAACACACTACAGACCAGCCTACCACACCTAGGAGCATTGCTTCCCTCTGCTTGCATTTCTCTTAGCCTTCTACCTATCAGACCATGAGTATACTATGTTTTTCATAAAGGAAAATAGGGGAATATATTATCAAGATGAAAACTCAGCACATAACAAGATTAAGTTTCACTACCTATATGTATCCAGACTTGTGCTGATACACATCTCAGGGACATACTCATATTAACCTTTTTCCCCCCTTTAGCCACTGCGACCACCCCTTCAGAAACTATCCAGCCACTAACCCATATTAATAGTAACTTGATCCTTCAAACCACAGCTTGGTC